ACAGAGTTTTTGAAGACTAAATAGAACCATTTGATCGTTTGTTCTGTATAAAAGAATACAATTCTCATACAATAATATTCTCTACTAAGTCAGCCAAAATCAGATCAGCTCAAGTGAAGCCAATTTCCTTTTTTGTTTTGAAATCAAGTGTGAGCAGAATCTCAGTTCTTATCTGTCTATTTGGTTGTTAATTGTTTACCATTAGTCATTTGTGGTATAGGGATATGTGTGTATATAACTCAGCCATTTTGCAAATGGAATAATTATGCTGTACAAATCTGAGACTATTAGGAAACATTTATTTTATTTATAATTTTGCTCTATTTTATTATTGTTGATTTTAATCATAACACTTTAGATCAAATCTCTAATAATAATAATTCTATCACTCTCTTGTCTCCATTTTTCTGCATCATATTTGTTTACAACCTACAATGTATGGCTGATATTAGAGTTCTGTTCCTATTTACTTCCTAATGTCATTGTTTTGCATTTAAATATAAGGACCCTGCTTATCCCAAGTGTTGGGGAGTGGATAGAACTTGGAATATGGTATCATGATAACTGACTTATTAATAAAACTGCATAAAATATATGTACCATTTTTCTAGTCTGTTTCATCTGGCAATAAGAATTTGAATCATCATTATGTCTCTTGCCAAGTCAGCACAAGCCATTGATACCACTGACAATAAAATCAATGTTTATCAACAATAGATTGCATTCTAAGATTAGAGATAGAGTATAAAGTCACTGAGGTGACCTCAAATTACTTAACGAAGATTAATCAAAAAGTAAAAGTTTTCAACAACTATAAAAAAAACTTGAGCTGAAACAAACAAATATTGATTCCCCGATAAAAACTTACCAATAGATAATCAAGTCTTACTTCACTATTTCTTCACCATTGTTAAGAACCTGGTATTTACCCGATCTCCCCACTAGGCAGGATGTGGCACAAGGCCAGTTTTTATGTGGGGCAAATTCAAGCCAGTAGGTTCAGGCAAAAATTCCCTGTAGACCCCACATACATGAAGTTGGGTAGCTGTCTATCTCTCCAGAAGAGACTCTGCTCTTCGGTAAAGCCACATTTGGGTTCGTTCCTCTCCACCTGGAGGCAGAGTGTCAACAAGCAGATCTCTTCTAGAAGAAGAACCTTAAGAAAAAATACACCTTTATGAACAGAACACGATAACATTGTACAGAAATCAATATCTCTATTAAAAACATTCAAGATGATTCCCTTGAAAAGTAATATGATCTTCATGTCCAAATTGTGGTTACTAAAGAAATAATAATAAGCTAGATAATGACAGTGAAACTATTCCATCAACTGCTGCTTTGAAGTTTGTTCTTACATGAATCTGACTCACATTTCAATAATCAAGAGGCATATGCCAACAGGATTTGAAGAAAAGGAGGTAGATGCTTTATATGAGCCCAGAACAAAAGTTAGTTCCAATAATATCCTGAAGTAGCCACTGAACAATGTGATTGTGAACGTTAGTTCTGAAGTAATTTCTGCAATATATGCAACATGAAAGGATATTTGTCCACCATATGTATAAGCAATAACAGGAATATTTATATAATAGCCAAAATTACACCATCACTGCAAACACTACAAAGAAATTAAAAAAAAAGAAAAGATTTTAAAGAAAAATATCCCTGCGGATTCATATTCATGGAGGATGTAAAATCCAAGTGATGATAGAGACTGGTGTAGACGTTAATGTAATTCTGGAAAGTAATGTACTCACATTCAATTCCAATTCTATGGCAGTAAAAACATAATTTCCAAAGAATTCATAATGAATGCCTAATAGAGAAGTAAAACATTAAATAGTGTAAATTGTCATCATTGATGACAATCTTCTGATGAAGGCTGGGAATTCCATATCCTGCAATCTCACTGAATCATTAGGAATCACTGTGTAAAATAAAAGAAAATACCATCTTTGCAAGAACTGAAACAACTCAAGGTAATGAAGTTGTAGTAGGATTAGGTGGTAGTAACACCATATAGAAATATACACTTTCCTTTTCACTAAGAGAATGACAAAGAAAACTCTCTCTCTCTCTTCTCTATTAAATATATTTCCTTTCCTTCCTTCTATTGTTCCTATCCTTGGTAACTGACAGAACCCGAACATAACTTATATGGGTCAGTAAACGTAATAAAAAATCAACCAATGACAACACATCCTACCAAAAATCAAATGGAAAACACAGATGTGTCAGGCCTAATAAAAAGAAGAAAAAAAACACATGCGAAACAGAAGTGGGAAATTGTTTTGATGTAGCAGTTTAAGACGCAAGGGTTGGAGATTCATTGTATGTGAATTGACTGGATGTGCAACTCCAGAAGAAAAAGAAAAAGAAAAAGAAAGGATGAATTCAACAAATTAATTTCTGTCAGCCAAAAATACAACAACCCTGTATGAACTCTCAAATCACAAAAAGGACTAAGACAATATTCACCCACTTTAACCAGTGTAACCAAATGGAGTCAACAATAAAATGGTATTATAGACAGTAGATTTGGCCTTTACTTATGTATTAGCCCAACCTTTGCCTCTACACACCATAAAGTTAATGAAATTCAGGAAGCAGTTAAGCTTGCAAACATGGCACAACATCCACCAGTATTTCAGGATCTGAGAAAGATGTAAGCTGAACCCATGTGTCTTCAAGTAAAGTCTAGCATCACTTATGATATGGCTACTACATTCCAATCCCCTGCTAAAACTACCTGTTTCAACAGTATCACAAACTGATCAATCTGCCAGAAGAAGACATCCTGCTCCCCACAGTTATTTGGTGCATAAACCCCAATGAGCTGGAAAACTTTCTGCTTTATGCTAACATTCAATACACACAACCTGCCTCTTGGATCTGTGAAGGCAAGTAAACAGGTGGCATCCAAAGAACAACATTGACTAAGAAATACTTCTTGAACGGTTGAACATTTTCAACTTGAACCTCAACCCTCAGCCATTTAAACTTGCTAACCAGGGAACCATGATTGAAGCTTAGTGGCAATGAACATCCAGGACAAACAAGCTCGGGATCAGGAAACCAATAGCCTGCCCCATAGACTCCTTCCAGTATGCTTTTGTTGGTATTCTTCTTGTCCAGCATCATTTTCAGGATCTCTTTCTTTTCCTTTCTTGGGCTGGACCATGTTCATCTTGTTTTCAAGGTATCCACATACAATTTGGATGTCTCTCCTGTACTAGGGCCCAACAAGGACTGATGTGTTTTTGGCTGTTGTTTTTTTTCCTCTGATTCTTCATTAGTTTCCATTCTCCTTCTTAGTTGATGTCTACAGAAGAGTGAGTAGTATGAGTTAACTTTGGACACAATGAGCCCATTTCATCTGATGTCATGGCTGGGGTAAAGCAATAGCTGCCTTTTTCTGTCGTTTTTATTTTTCAGAGACAGACTGAGAACAGATGGTTAGTTTACCTCATATAAGCAACATGTGAGCTTCTTTCCAGATACTATTACAAGAAGTTTCCATCCATTCAGCTTCAACCAGTTTGGAATGATGTTAAATGCAATTGTGAATTAGGTTAAATCACCATTTTCCATTCTTGTCCAGGTTGATGTCTACTATCTTGCCATCTCCCATCTATTGACCTGTGTTGAAACTAGGAACTTTGTACATGCTGACTTGTTCTTCACTGTACCTGGTACTCAACACTTATGAGACACTCTTTATTTTGTAAGTCTTTCTTTGTTAATGCTTCACAATCCTCAATAGGAAATAAGAAACTGAAATTTAATTTCTCCTTTGTTAGAACAAAAAGAGAAGGATTAGAAATTGAATTTCAGATTTAAAGAATAAGAAGAATCTAGTTGTTCCAGCTTTGTTAAAAGAGGTTTTAGTTCATGTACAAAACACAGACAGCAACTTTGGCTAATGGTTGAGCAAAATTATGGAATGTTATATAGAAATAAAAACATGATCAACTGCAGTACCATGTAAAATCTAAATCTATAAATATCATGTATTTGGCAATTATTTGATTAAACAATTTGTGGAATCAGCCTAGAAAACATGATGGTTAAAATCAACCTGTAATTATGTTTTTATTTAGTATTGGTTGGGGATTAAATTTTATCAGAAAAGATAAGATAAAGTAAAGATTATATGAATTTATAGCATCTCATGCAAATGTGGACACACACACATACACACACACACTGAAGATGACTGCTTTTGAGAGGTCTAACAAAAATAAAATAAAAATTCACATTTATATATATAAAAAAAGCATTTTTTAATTTTGTATTTTTTATTTCCACAGAGAAAATAAAATAGCATTTTTTAGAAAAAAACGTGAGATATTTATCAAGTCTAATGTTGTAAAAATTAATAAAATATATCAGAAAAGATATTGTTAAATTATTGTAGAAAATAGATCTTCATAGAGAAAAAAATGAAGGCCCATCTTTAGTTAATGCAGAAAAAATATTGAATGTTAAGCAAGATAAAAAAGTCAATAGTAAATATTAAAAGACTTATTAAAAAATAATAATTAAAGATGTCAAGAATTAAACTAATTTTAAATTTATTTTAATTATAAACACTTAAATTTTGAATTGTTTAAAAGCACTAAAATAGCTTAAATGGATCTTAATTTAAGGAGTTATTTTTTGTACTGATGTAGCTTTTATAATTTAAAAATAAGATTTAAACAATTTATTTTCATGAACTAATATTATGATCCATTTGTATCTTCATGGAAGCAGTTAATTTTGTTTGTCTTATAAACATTATTACATAATACATTTGGTGAATAACTGGAATAAATTAGTTTAAAATTTATGGGTTGTATAATTTCTTTTTTAAATTTGTGCCTGCTTGAATAGATAATTTGTTAATAGAGTTTTCATGATTTGAACAAACTACAATGTCATTTATATTTTCTACTATTTATTTGCATATTCATAAAGGCTAGATGCATGCTTTTGTGTAAGAGCCAGCCCTTCACAGTTCTGCTGCCATGTTATGGGGATGGCCTCTTCACCCCAATATGCTCCAGCAATAGCACCTGCCATTGTGGCTATTGTATCTGTATCTCCTCCTAAAGATATTGCATATATGATAGTGCGCTCAAAAGCATTTCGTTCCTGAAAATAGAAAAGAAAATGTTATAGGGTGAATGTTATAGGGATTATGAGGTGAAAGAAAAATAATTTTCCTATAAAATTAGAAGGATTTATGTTTTTGCATCTTACTTCTGGATATAGCATTACAAAATTTAAAAATTTTCATTAAGTATAATTGTAGAAGAGACATTTTTGACAATGAAAGTACAAGGGGCACCGAAAAAGTTTTCAACAAGAGATTTTTAATTACGATAAATTGTGGAGTACGAATCATCTGACTCCCAAACATATGGTAGGCTACCAGTAACCTAAAACTGTAACCTAAAAGATTTTTTCAGGCTTGAATACTTGAATCAAGAATATTTTTTAGTCTTAAAACTGATTTGTACACCACAATTTACAGTAATTCTGTCTAGTCATTTGGTCAGATTTTGAGTAGTGGGTTAGCCTGAGAACGTTTTAGAATTTCTTTGTATGTACTAATAAAAGATTGTACCACCCTTGTGGTATATTAATAAATAAAATATATAAATAATATTAATAATTTATAATATAAAACATTAATACAAATTAATAAAAATCTGGCTTTAGAAAAATATTTTAATCATATGAGTTTATAACATTATTCAGTCATCAAATATTTTTCCACATTTTTTATGACCTTATACCACCTTTCAGGTACATTATTACAGAAGAATTATTGAATATGTTTTAATTTGAGGATTTTTTTTCAATATCTTGAACTTGCTGGAACCACTAATTACACAAGAGCTATGGTGACAGATCAGAAGAATATGATGCTTGTAGAATTTCATAAACTAGCTCCATACTGCATTTGTAATATGAAGATATTTTTATTTTAATGTATCATTTAAACAAGCTAATTGTTTACTGTAACATTTTGTTCAGTTTCCAGCAATTTATAATAAAAATCCCTTTAAATCACAAACACAGAGAACTTTTCCAACCGATCAGTAGATTCTGTTTAGATTGTAATGTTGAGACTGCTGGATCCAGTTATAATTTTTTTAGTAATAAATCCATGTTATGTTGCCAATGACCATCTTGTCCAAAAATGACCATGTCAAGGAAGAGAAAGGCAAGTGGTGTTCTGTAAATTCATGTACAATGCATTTTGCTCAATTCTAAAAATTTCCCAAGGCTTGTAAATGAAGTGATACAATTAACTGATTACACAAGCAAGCAGTAAAGAGCTGGTTAAATTTCATTAACATTTCATTTCTATGATTTCCCTAATATTATGGAAAAGACTGAAAGTTTTACATCAGCCTAATACAATATTTAACTGAAAGTGACTCGGCCACCACTTAATATTGTTTAAAGTTAACAAAAATATAGAAAAAATTGTACTGGTTAGTTTTTGAATCATAATTCATTTTGTTATGATTACTTATATTTAACTTATTGGGAGCAGCCCACATTTTATCCTGCTGTGTTCTAACATCATTTGATAAAAAATATTAAAATAATTATATTTTATAATACCAACCTTCAGTCCATCAATATCTGACAAAGCTCGAAGGAATGAGTAAATACTGGTTGGAACAGAGTCTAAAGCAGACACGTTATTTCCTGAAAAAATATTAGAAAATTAGGATTATTTCACATTTAATACATTATTTCACATTTTATACATGTCTATTTTGTAGCTCCTAAAGTGGATGTTATTGTATTTTGCAGTATTTTGGTATTATATTCATGAATACACTGAAATAAGTGAAAAAAGGTGTTCAAAAGAAAGAAAAATCATAAGTTATTTGCTTAAAGGTTAATTTAAATTAATGAATCTTTTTCTTATCTTATGAATATATTTAAAAAAAAAAAAAAAAAAAAAAAAATCAACATTTTTACCAAGTTTCCAAATAAGTAGGACATACAATAGACTTTTCCAAACAGAAAGTATGATCTGGAATTGGAATGAAAGCAGTAATAGCACATATCCTGAATCCATTATAAAAAATCAGAATATGGAATTAATATTAAACACATCAAATACCTTGGATATAGAGTAGTTACAGCAAATTTTGTATAGGAGATAAGATAACTGAATATATGATAGGATGTGCTGTGCGTGTGTGTGTGTGTGGGGGGGTTCTACTACAAGATGCTACAAAACTAAAATATTAAGTCATGTTCTTAAATGTTTCCTTTTATGGAAATGGCTAATCTCACAATCACAATTATCATTAGATGTTTTGCTGTGAAAAAACATTTAACAAGCTTGTTTCATAGGCCATTGTTACTGGAGTGAGTTTTAGACTTCTTGGTTGGGTCACACTATTAGGAGCTCTAAGCTAAGCAAATAAAATATTACATTCTTTCTAAAACCAGATCTTCTTCTGATTCATGCTACACTAATTTCTACCTTTGGCTGGATGCAAATGCTCTGAACACCCAAAACTGAACTAAAATTCTGTCAACTGCACAAGGCTCTTGTTTTTACTCATACATTCAAAGAAAAAATAAGCAGTACAATCCAGAATTTCCACCCAATTGAATCAACTCCCACCTACAGAAATAAAATAAAAACAGGAGCTGATTTGAACCTAAAAAAGACATAAAAGCCCATCAAAGAGACATTCAGCAGTTGGATGGCATCTTTGCCCAGGTTCACAGATTTCATTAGAAAGTGACCTCCGATCTCCAAGACACATCAGACTTGGCTAGCTTGCCAAAGACCGTTGCTCAAGTAAGTCACAACTTATCCTCTCTCTCCTTCTGTACACCATATTGGATGCCTTTTACAATTCCATTTATCTCTTTTTCAACAAGAGACATTTATACTGATTTATCATTTGTTGCATTTTACATTAATAGAATTGATTACCTCTTTAAATTTTTGATGTTTCTTCTTTGTTCTACTGCCATATGCTTATCATAACAATATCGATACTTTTGTAGAGTTGAACTAGGAGTGTTGAAGATAGGTTTATAGAACAATGCCATTTAAATCTGCAAATTAAGTACAATTTACATCATATGACTTAAAACTAGTTAGGGTTAGAATAGTTAGAGACTCATGTGTTTATATGAAAAAATATGTCTAGAATAGAGTGCACATTTTTTCTTTCCATGAATGAGATTAAAGTGAGAAATAATATCAATTTTGCCAAATAACTTTCTACAAATACAAGTATAGGTTAAAGCTAAATAGAACATATTAACCACAACCATAAATATAATTATTTTTAAAAAATCATATATCACTTTGACATCTTTATGATCAACCAATTTGAAATACATATATATACAAAACTTTTTTCTCCCCTGTGGAAAGCAAAGTTTGTAAAAATTTATGGTATTGTGGTAACTACCACCACCATTACATACACACAGTACATAGAAATCATACAACAAGCATTCATTGGTTGATCTCCTCAAAACTAGCTTGCTGATTGGTCAATTCCAACCAGTCAAATCGCTGGTATGCGAGGAATAATTTTCCCACGCACAAGCTTCTGAGCCTACCATGTGATACACAGCCATATATAAACAAAGCACGAATAAGCTTCCTTGTGTTCTCTCCAGTCTCTCTTGCTGCCAAAATGTAACCTTCAAGAACTCCCATCTTGACCATGCAGTCAGACGTTAAAGACCATTACTGTAGTGAGATGCAAATTAGTATAATTTGCATATGAGCAGGTAGCTCATATGATAAATGACACCAATAGAACTAAAAAGAAAATATGAAATAGTACCCATTATAGTTACAAATTGCCGAAAAATGCATGGACTATTGGGGAATGACGTGTTAAAAATAAATTCAACGAGTTGATTAATGAGATAGAAATAGAAAAAACAGGAAAATTAAAAAATTATGAAGCTAGCCTGAAATTAAAAGAAAATGTTTCCCCTCCTACTACGAAGCGAGAAAAATACCAGTGCATTTATTACCGTTGGTAATAGCTAAATTGCGAAAGCTAATAAAGGAAGACTTATTAGAACCTGCCCCTCAGGAGGAAGTAAATGGGCATCACCCATTGTGGTATTGAAAAAAAAGATGGTGACCTGAGAATTTGTGGAGATTATAAAATAGGGTGAACCATAAAGTTTGTGCTGACTCGTACCCTATTCCGAATGTGGAAGTAGCTTTACATAAACTTGCTGGAATGAAAGTATTTTCGAAGATAGACCTAAAATCAGCTTACCACCAAATACCGATAAATGAAAATTTTAAAGAAGTGACGACCATAAACACACCTATAGGCCTGTTAAGGTGGAAAAGAATGCCGTATAGCATAAAACCAGCAAGTGCAATTTTTCAAAAAGCTATTGAAAAAGTAATAGGAAATGTTGAAAATACCATCTGTTATCAAGACGATATATGTGTTGGAGATTTAAATGAAGATGATTTAAAGAAAAAAACTGAAAATATACTGAACCGGCTAAGAGACGCTGGTATGACAATAAATACAAAAAAGTGTGTAACCAACAGTAATGAAATATCATTTTTGGGTTACTCAATATCAAAGGAAGGGATCTCTCCAGTACTAATAGAGAAAATTCTAAAAGTTGCTATACTGAAAAATAAAAAAAAGTTGGAGTCCTTCTTGGTTTGGTAAATTTTTATAGAAAATATGTACCAAAATATAATGAGTTGACAGAACCATTTGCTAAGTTAAGAAAAAAAATGTGGAATTCATTTGGTTAGAACACCAACAGAAAGCCTTTGAAAACTTAAAACAGATTCTGGCAAAAAAGCCAATAGTACAAATTTTTGACCCTAAGAAGGACATAACTCTAACTACTGTTGCTAGTGAGCAGTCCATATCTGGTATTTTGTCACAAGATGGGCATCCCATAATGTACTTATCGAGGAGATTAACAACAACTGAACACAATTATTCGAATATAGAAAGGGAGGCACTAGCCATAGTGTGGACAACGGATAGAGCAAGACAGTTTTTGATGGGAAAAAAATTCTTGTTGAAAAGTGATCACAGACCACTGGAATTTATTTTCAACCCAAGAAAAGAGCTACCGAAAGTTACAACGTCCAGAATATTACGTTGGGCGATTAGACTGATAGCGTTCGACTTTGACATTGAATATGTTAAAGGGAATACGATACCGCACGTTGATGCCTTATCTAGATTGAGGTTTTATAGAGAGGAGAAGGACAAAAACAATGAGGAATTTGAAGACACATTCTTGCACCTTGTAGAAACTGATGTAATATCTGTAGATAAAATCGCTACTGAAACTACAAATGACCCAGTGTTAAATAGAATAATGTCGAGGATAAAACAGAATCGCTGGGGAAATTGTTCAATGGCTGAAAGACCATTCAAAGAAATTAGACATAGAATGACTATAGAAAACGGGATAATATGTAATGGAGACTTGGTAGTTCCCCCAGAAACACAGAGGAGACAGGTTATAAAAAGTGTACACGATGACGTACATTGTGGAGTGGCAGCTATGCAAAGAAGATTAAAATTGGAAGCGTAGTGGCCGGGGTACTCAAGAGACGTAGAAGATTACGTAAGAAGATGCAAAAAATGCACAGAACTTAGGAATTTTAAACAAAAGAAAATACATGTATGGCCCCGATAAGTAGAACCATGGAGCAGAGTACACATGGACCATGCCTATGTCAATGGGATAGGACTATTATTAATATTAGTAGACGCATATTCAGGTTGGCCTGAAGTGGTGAGAGTACCTGATAAAAAAAGTACCACCGTAAAACAAATATTAAGAGTAATATTTTCGAGGAATGGGACACCGAGAACATTGGTGACTGATAACCCACCAAAATTTGTGGATGCTGATTTGCATGAATGGCTAAGAAAAATAGGATGCAGACCTTACAAGACCCCTCCCTACCACCCTCAAAGTAATGGGACAGTGGAAAGGATGGTCCAGACGGTAAAGAAGGGCATAAAAGCATGCTTGCAACAGAAGGAGGAAATCGATGCTTTCCTACGAAGACTGTTATTAAGTTACAGAACAATTCCACATGCAGGCAGGCCGGAAAGTCCATCTGCCTTAATGGGCAGACAATTAAGGTCCCCTTTGACTATGTCATATGTCACAAATCAAAAGATGTGGTACAAAAGAAATAGGAATATGCAACCCAAGTCAGCCGAATTTATTATGCAGAAAGGACATAATACTGCAATATTAAATAAAGAAAATGGGAACAGTGTTCTAGCTCATGCTGACCAAATAAGATCCCAAGGAGAAGAATCAGATGAGGAAATGCCTTCAGAGATGCCCATTATTGACGTAACAGAAGAGTTAATGCAGAATGAAACTGCGGAGGAAGAAGTAGAATGGGACAAGTTAGAAGAGAAAGACCACAGTATGCAAGAGGAACAGTTCGATTATAGGGAAAGACGTGATAGATCTAGATCTCCAAGGGAAAGGAGAGAGATAAAGGAAGATGTTCAGGAGGGCACAAGAAGAAGTACAAGAAGTACTCGCAGCATAAGGCCCCTCCTTTATAGGGAGATGTAGTGAGATGCAAATTAGCATAATTTGCATATGAGCAGGTAGCTCATATGATAAATGGACATCAACTAGAACAGAGGTGGACTGCTTACTTAGCAATATACACGACACAACAATTACCAACATTCACGCAAATACAAACTCTTAACTCTTCAGTCTCTCTTGCATCTCAATCCTTGCTGAACAAATGTAACCTTCAAGAACTCCCATCTTGACCATGCAGACGTTAACGAACATTACAACATTCATGCAAGTACAACTCTTAACTCTTCTGAACTCTTACCAACTTTATCCAATACACAATTCCTTACATGCTAAAGGAACTTTATTCTTCTAAACTACAGTTTAATAATTAATTCATCTTTATGAACTCAGGTGCAAATATTTCCAAATCTAAGAGACATAACTCTATCAAACCTTCAGCTTATATGCATGTACACCAAGCACTAATAAATTCAATTGTTATGTTTTGAATCATTACATTCTGTTTTGTATTTTATACTATGTGCTATTTTATGTCAAATATAAATTGCATTGTGCATGCCACATTGGATAGTAACCTCCAGCGTCTTTGCTTTCCTTAATCACACCTTTCCTAGTGAAAAGATAAATATATGTAGTACCTACTCCTACAGTATCATTAAAAAAATAGAGACAAATATCATTAAAACATATCAAAGGTTGAGAACAAAAGTATAATCTCAATGCAAAAATTATGAAGATGATTGAGATAAAAAATAAAAAAGTAAATAAAAACAAAATACACTAATTCCATTATTTTACAGCTAATCTAAATAATATATGCTTGAAATTATTCAATAAGATATGCTGAAAAGTAGCAACATAATATTGAGAACATAGTTGTAAACCATCATTTATGTTTATTTGTAGTATTTTTTATAATAAAATATTTGTATAGACATGTATATCAGTGTTCATGAAAAGTAACTGTGAAATGTCTGTTTTTCAGAACTTTTTTAAATAAATAATTCTAAGAAGAGATATTTTGATTTTAAAGAACATAGAAATGATGTACCTAGCTTATGAATAATTTTCCTCTTGTCAACATCAGGCTCATCAAGAAATTCTTTGATAACTTTTAACTTCTGGCTATAAAGACACAAGGAAACCTCTCTGAAAAAAAAATTGATTTTATAAATAAATAATTCTAATATTAAAAAGAAAAAGTTAAAGAGATGAAAGCAAATAAAATTTTAAAAGTTTAACGAAGTTTGGATTTAAACATATCTTTTTACTCTACTCCTGGAATGTAAAATTTTCTGACACCCAAATTTGGTAGTAAGCTGCATAAAGAAGTGATGTTGATTATGGAATTTGAGTTTTCATTTTATGCTGCATCTTAAATCATCCAAGAAGTCTGAAATCTCATTGTGATAGATTGATTATTTTTACTATTCTAAAATGCCTGAATGTGACACTGTGGCCATGAAGTGGTTAATGTCGGGTATAAGCTGAAAGATAGAGAGAGAGAGTGGAAGGCATTTTTCCTGGTGATAGAAAGTGAAAGGTTCATCTGGGTCTTATTGCTCTTATGAATTGGGACATGCGCCAAGAGTTTATTTTTTCTCGCTATCAAGGAATCTGACATGCAGAGAAACAAATTGAGAAATAATTTTATTGCTTCCTTGAGATTAAATTCTTAAGGAAGCAGTAAAATTATTGTTAACAAGGAGAGGGATAGATCTGGGTTATATTTTCGCTGACAAAAGCAAACTGGGAAATAATTTTATCTCTCCCTCAGAAGGCTAAATGTGAACAAACTTTTCTTAAGGGTTAAATATACATCAAAACGGAGGTTATGAAACATGTTCTGTCATTGGCAGGCAAGAGAGTGGTCTGGTTTATATTTTTACTGGACAGAAATAAGTCCAGTGAAATAGAAAGGAATCAGAGAATTAAAATTAATGACTACAATAAAACTCCTCCCTTTCACTTATGTGCGTTAAAAATTAGATTCATCACAAAAACAGTTATGCCAGCCCTGGGAAGTAGGCTGAGGTTGAATGCTAAGAGGGTAGGAGGAAAAATGAGAATTTAGCACCACCTGATGAAGTGATGGTATGAGATGTAAATTGAAGCAAGGTGGAGTTGAGGAGAGGAGCAATTCCTGTGATTACTCACAAGGAAAGCTGATTAAGACTGCAGAAATAGAGGACAAAAAAAACTTGTTGGGATTAATGTGAAACTTGAGGAATCACAGAATCCCCAGAACCTTTTGGCCCTATGCCAGTTTTGCGCTGAAATGCATACAAGCAAATAGCTTTGAGAGCTTGAGGACTCGTACTACATTAGTGCCTCTAGAATCCATGTCAGCAATTTTGAAACCAGTTCCTCCAGAATTTTTTACAAGGTCCAGCGTCACAATAGAGATTGATGTGGGAAGGGTTAATCTTTGTTGCACCAAGAACTGTATAATGTTTCTTTCATTTTTGTGTTTGTGAAGATATTTCTTCCCTTAATATAGCTTCCGCTAAAGTGCTTTGATTACTACGATATTTGATCTTTCACTACTCTGAGATCAAGAACACAACCTGGGCAGAGTGGATGTGGATCAAAGCAGCCAGCAACAACCAGCTTGGACCAGCATCAGTGTTGACCAACACAAGGATAGCCTATAGTTAAAATGTTGTCCTAAGAACCTGAAAACCAGACCTCCTGATGTGGTTATACCACTGGGTGTAGGCAGCATGAAAAGGGGTTATATAAATACAGTATGTCATATTAAAAAAAATTAAATCAATTATTGACGTAATGAATATGCATACACCTGGGTTCCCCCTCACAGTAATATGATTGGCTGGTGTCAACCATAAATACAGACTGATGTGGATGCCTATGGATGATGCCTATTGACTACGCCTATTGCCTACGCCTATGGCCTACCACTATGACAAGGACCCATCCATTACAGTTACCTGCTATATTGTTCTACCCGGTTACAGTAGTCGAAAACCATTTTGCTACTTTGAACAAATATATCCCTTTCCGGGACATATCAATTATGAACATCACATTTAAAATAAATAAGAGAGTCCTTTTAACTACACTGGAGATGTATGGAATGTTCTATATTTAAAATTACTTCAAATTAATTATTATAAACAAAATTAAAAACCTTAATTATAAATAACACAAAACAAATGACACTGAATGTGTAAAATGAGATGTTATCTTATTTCACAGATGTCAAATGAACTAACCCATCCTTGTTCTTCTTCTCATGACATATACTTTCATGTGAGAATTATTATTTACATTTAAATAAATGACTCTACTGAAATTTCTTTGCTTTTAAAATATGCTAATGAACATCAATAAGATGTCTAAAAATTCCAATAAAGATCTTTTGTAGATTTTTTGAAAAGAGTAAAAATTTGCATAATTTACTGTTTTTGAGAATATGATTTTCCAAAAGCTTCCTCTTCATAATAAATCATAGTCTCAATCAATTTATCCAGAAATCTTTCTGTAGGAAATGGACTTTCTGTTGTGTTCAAGACCAAGTGAATTGCTTGTGCCTGTAGATATGCACCCAGAATACCCAAGTTATGTGTATGAGTCAATTGAGTAATCTTGTCAGTGAGTTCCTGGAGAAATAAAAAGAAAAAAACAATTTAATTAAAATATAAAGTTGATGAAAACATTCAATAAAATAAGTATAAAGACACAAATGAAAACTGTAAGCTGATAAGTATTTTTTAGTAACATTAACTTGGGGTCAGGAAGTGCTTAGCTCATGGTATACCATTGTTTGGATATGATCAAGTAAAAGAAAAAGAAAAAAAAAAAAAGTATTGAGGCTTGAATCAAAACCAAAATAATAGAGGGCTGAAATTTAATGAGTAAAATAGTGAGTGGCACTACTGGGATTCAATCCCAGAGTTAACTTCTATGACTCATTTGGTTTCACTATTACAAACCATGCAAACCTCATTCTGGGGATCCTGCCAGGTTGATAAATGTGATGTGTGTGTAAAAATTCATATATAAATAAAATATATCTGTAAAGACAATAAAAATGAAAGAAAATACAAGAGGTAAACATTTTTGCCAACACATTTTGTTCAAACAATTATAATAAATTATTATTGTAATAATAATTTCACAGTATATAGGTGAAAGTTTAAAAAATGTATTCATGAACATAAGAAAGATTTACATAACTATTTACTCAGTGAGTTAGTTATATGCAGAAACATTTTAAAATTTTAAACAATTTAAAAGTTATACACAGAAATAATTTCAATCTAAAAATGTACTTATTAAAAAACAAAATAACTTAGACAAAAGTTCTTGAAAGTGCAATTATTAATTTTTACTAAAATATTAACTTATACCATGGACTTGTTCAAATATATACTTTCTTAAAAGAAATGCTTCTTTATTAAGGTAATATGACCATAAAAATTTAAAAGAAAACAGTTAACTCATGACATTTACATGTTAGAGATACGAAAATAAAAATGCATAAAAATAAATAATTACATATATATATATGAAAATGAATCACAACAAAAATATTAAACCACTTTTAAGAAATTTTGTCATTTTGTGTCCTCCATAGTTTATATTTTGTTACACAGGAAGTTTTTAGAATATTTTAGAGTGTTTGCTAATCCAAAATTGGAAAATTTATTTTTTCTCCATGTTACTTCTGTGTATAACCTGTATAGGTTACCAAATAAAATCTCCACATATGTCCTGATAAGATTCTTCTAAGAACAGAATATGTTGGCATAAAAAGTTTTTGCTTTTAGGAAAAATAAAATTATATATATATATATATATATATAGATAGATAGATAGATAGATAGATAGATAGATAGATAGATAGATAGATAGATGGAGAGTGAGTCTAATTCTTGTACATTTCCCATAATTCAGTTGCATGTTCTGCTGTGGAATAAAAATTGTGGAATAAAAGGACTTACAATGAACACCCAGGTTTTTAAACCTATGTCTTTATGATAAAGAACAGGTTTTTGTAAGATAACTTAAAATTCTATAGCACATTTTGAAAGAACAGTTTCTAAAATCCTCAACTGGACAGAAATTTTACTAAATGTAAAAAAACATAAAAGTTACTCAAGTAAAAAAGGAAAGTAGAAAGTATATTATTAAACATTTAGGCTATGTATAAAGCTTGTATGTGAAGAGGTGACTTTCTGGTTAACATGTCCACTGAGGCATATAAAATCATAATTGATTTTAAATAATATGTCGGAATTTATGTTGATCTTTCTAAATAATCACTCTTAAGCTATTATGTTAAAATGAATTTGAAATGGCAGGTCATGTTTGAAGAGATTAATTTTCAGTATTCAATTTTCTGCCTCTTGACTTTAGTAAAACAAAAGTCTCTTAATCAGTTGACTTACTAGCTATTTAAAAATCTGTGACCATTTCACATTCATTGAAAAGTTAAAAATGGGGTCATCTACAATTGTAGATGTGTTGAAATAAAATTATAAACCAAATTCTCATCAATGATAGTATTCAACATATAATTAAAAATTGAATAAAGTAATGGATTGTAATTTGTACTGGCTCAATGTTGCAACTAACAAATTAATAATGATTGTCTTTTTTTTTTAATAAAATAGATTGTATGAGGCCTGTTTCTGGTTATAAGATATGGGAGCACTATTTTTGTTAATAGTAGTAGCTACATACACCTACAACTGAATTCCTAGGTGTTCTGGTACAGAACACACTTTGCTAGGTAAGTTTCACATTTTTTTATATATATTCTCTCAATCAAGCATTAGGTTAGCAAAACAAATTTGTTCTGCATTTTATAATAAACAATATTAGAATTTTTTATTTTTCATTTTAGAAAATCCTTGTTGCTTGTATTGTGACAGTAATTACAGTTTTAGAGAATTCTCTTAATGAAAAATATTTCAATTTCCTAGAAGATTGCAAAAAGTATCTACAGAAGTTTTTTGCTGAAAAAGTTTAAAGTTATAGGAGGATGAAATGAAATCATCTAAAGAATGGCAGAAGATGGAAGAAATAATTAAATATGCGGTTTCATAAAATTAATATTAAAAATAGGAAATTTGTCAATTATGTTTGCCGGGGAATGTTTCTTTCATTTTATTTCTGTTGCTTTTTATCATGAGTTCCAGATTATTGTTCTATGATAATGAGTAAGCAACATGGATAAGAATTGAGCCTTTGCTAAAGTGCTTTATTTTTAGGAAATTGACTTAAATGATTATGCTATGAATGACAACTGACAGCAGCCATTCAAATTTAACTATATTTGTTACTTCTCCAATTGTCACTATGCTGCAATTTTTGTTAACATTATACTAGCAGGATTCAAAGTATTCAAAAGGTATGAGAGTTTTTATTTTGTTTCCCTCTGCTTACTAGTGGTCACAAAATGATGATTTTGCAGTTGCAATAAAACAACAACAGGAATAAGAAATATCAGATATAAATTAATAACTGACTATGATTCATCTAAGAAATGTGTTTTTTACTTAAACTGAATAAAAAGCCACCTGACTATTGTCTACTAAGTATTGATGATGAAAATGGAAAAAAATGTCCTTGGAAGCCAGAAAAGTGGCTTCACTTCTACTAACTTGAATTTTACTTGCATTGCCTGAACCATTATTGACCATTATACTGAAGTTCTTTTATTAATATTTGCATCTCAAAATCCAGATTAAAAATGCTGTTTTGAAGGCAAGTATAAAATGTGTAACATATTTTCTATCTGATAAACACAATAGTAAAACAATCATTTAGGAATTATCAAGTAGAGCAATATTTTGTTACTTTATTGACCAACAGCATTTATTTCTTTTAAATAAGTAGAAGAAAATTTGCTTTGCAGCTGCAATTTAAGAAATTATGTGAATTTATAATTCCTTGAATGTACACTAACAATGACTGGTCAAATTGTAATTGCTAATAATTGCAAATATTCCAAACACTGAACATATATATATATAAAGTCTATTTCTGAAATTTGGAAGTGGTTTACTTGTATTAGGACATCCCAACATAATGTTTGAATTTAGGGTCAGAAAAATATAAAAATTCATTTTCATTTTTTAAATTCATTAACATAGGTTCTATCATTATCAAACACTCCCTTCACAGTGAGCCACAGGTTTTAGATCCTTTTTGATTTGAAGGAAAAGAATGCAAAAAGGATGGTTTCTGCCTCTTCATACATTTTAAGAAATAGTCCATCAAAGCAGTTCTATAAACACCACAATAGATGAGAATAGATATCAGGTGAAACAAATTCTGATCAATAAAGAGGACATGAAATTTTTCCTAGCAGAAGTCTTAAATCTTTTCAGGTGTGTATAGGGTTGTGCATGTATCTCAATGAAACAGTACACTTTTGCAATTGATAAAAGTGGATACCTTTTTGTTCCAGTGTTTTTTATAATATTGACTAGTATTAAAGTAAGCCATACCAATGCAATTCAACCAAACACTTACCAAAAGTTTCACTTGTGATCTAATTTTGGGTTTTACTATAGTTTATTCACCTCTACAAATTCATTATCAGTAATGTTTTATATTCTTGTAAAATATCTTTTTCCTAAACAGTCAATAATTTATCCTCCAAAAAATAAATAAATGCTTAGATACATTCCCAAAACTCTAGAGAAATGTATTTATCTACTCTTGCTATATGGTTAGCTACTTTTCAAGTCAAGTTGGACAAATTTCATAATAACTTACATTATTTATATTTGGACTAGTACCCTCATCATTATTATCACAGCATTCTGGATGCTGTGTTCTCTGTCTTTCTTCAGATATCTGTTGATTTGAATAAACTTCATAGAATTTTGAACTGAAACATTTATCTAATTTAAGGTGTGTGTGTGTGTGTGTGTGTGTGGAGGAGTAGAATGTTTTCATGTCTAGGGATATTTTATCTTGATTTTTAATCACTGAGTCTGTAACACCCAGTTTATAGATTGAACTCACACTGATTGTGCCATGAAATTCATGAACTAAAACTTTAATCCAGATGAGTCAAGAGTAGAGTTTAATGAGAATTTTTGGTTGAAACATTGAGTTTTATTAACAAAAGATGTTAACACATCAAATTGATTGAAGAGGGGAGGAATGAAAAACTTACACTTATTTAATACATTATTACAGAGCCACCAGAGCGAAAGTTGTTAGTTGCAATATGGTGCCTCATTCTCTCAGCAAACAGAGATTTAGTTTCTTTGAGGACACATTTACATTTATTACAATGTACAATTTACTACAATGAATAGGTATCTACTGTGACGGGAGTCATCACACTGGTATAGCGGGAAATAGTGGTTCCTGTGGGCTATAACAGCAGAGCATGTTGGTGAAAACCATGGTGAAAATTGAGGTTTCACTCAAGAAAGAATGAAAGCATCCATACCAGTTCTGACCTAAGAGGAAACCTTAGTTCCTGGTCTGGGTGTATGCGCCCAGGTCCCCACCTTAAAAAAGGCACTATTTACATTATTTGTACTATTGTCCAAATCTTTGTTGCCATATTTATCACAACATTTTGGCTGTTGTATGCTCCAGCCTTCGTCAGGTGGTTGGAATGTCAAACTGA